TTGGCAGAGCGGTATCATACAAAAATGAGTTGTGAAAGGGATGCTTCCAGAAAGATCTATTTAGCCGACAAGTTAGTCGCCATTTTGGGAGTTGAAATAGACGCACATGCGATCACTTTCGATAACAAGCTTTCACGTCATGAACTGTTTGACGAACTCAAGGCTCTGATGCACGATAGCAGTAATACTATGGTGACAGACATAAGTTATAACAGTAGACTTGCAAACGCCCATGCTATTGGGGGACGTTTTTCGGAAGGACGGGATATGCTGGTGAAAGCACACTGTTCGGCATCGAATTTCACAGCCTGCTTAGAAGTAGCAAACATGTACTATGTACAAGTTTATGTGTTACTGTGGGAGTTCGAAGCTACACGCTCTCAGCGACTGAAGTACTCACTTCTTGAGATGGCTGCAAAAGGTATAATGAGTCTACAGGAAGAGGAGGATTCGATCCGAATACTATGGACAAGAATGTTTCTCCTTAGAATGATCTTCTGTTTACTCGGTATAGGAAATCGCGCAAACGTTCTTCCTAGTTACTCACCAAGCCAAGAAGACATCGCACAGGCGTTTCACCTGCTGCAAAATGTCAGTTGGGATGGGATTTGGAAAGGAATTGAAACAAGAAGAGAGATGTTTTACTGGGTAGCTATGTCGAGATGGAATGCCCTTAAAGGTAGGTTTACTGAGGCTCAAGCAGACAATCTGAAGGCTCGAAACCTTGCACTTTCGGGCCAGTTCAAAGAACTCGCATTCATCGTTGACTATTCGAAGGATTTGGAATGTGTTGCCTCTACCTCCCAACGTGACCACGAAACACCGGAAATACTTTGGGGTCCCGACCCGTCCACGGAAGCTCCGATTAATCCTGGGAACGATTTTTCTCACGAACTTAACTATGGATTACACAGTGGAAGCAACTGCGCCGCGGACTGTCGTGGCTTAGAAAGCTACAAAACACAAAGTTGTTTAAGTGGACACTCTGGTGGACAGAATTTTGAGGATGAAAGTATTTTGTTTCAGCAAACAGACGAAAATCATCGATTTGAAAGATCGCTGGAGCATATTGATTCGGATGAAGTAGGACGTTGCGATGAATTGAGATATCGACTCTTGAACAAGAATCACAATATTCAGAATTTGAATGGTCTCAGCCGCTCTGTTTATTCAATCCAAGAATTCTGTACCGGCAATGGAGAAACAGATATCACCTCACCTTATAACAGTGATTTAGGTCAGTCAGTGTTACACTGGAGCTACTTACGTCATATGGAAGATGACGATTGCAAACATCAAGTTGTATACCTATTTCATCAAGCGGCTGCTTCGAGGCAAAATGGTTTTTGCGCCGACAGCGGAAAAGAAACTTGTGAGATAGCAAGTGATCCACACAGGAATATGGACACCGAAGAAAATATTTCGCTGAACTTTCCGGACTGTGATCCATACGATTCGCTCGATAGTATGCTTCTATTCGGTTCAGAAACACATGAACCAGGTGCGTGCTTTAACAGCTTGGTTTTGTTTGAGGACCGCGGGGAACCAGAAGGGGATTCCATCACGTAGTACTGTAGTGATCAGAAGACTGGTGTTATGTGTATGTAATGCTACATTATAGAAACGTGTTAATATTATTGATATATTTTTGATATAGAATTGTACTAAGCATACGTGCTGAACATTTGTTATCTAAAAATTCATTTGAAAATTTTTAAATCATGAAAGCTGAAGGTAATTAATATTTCACAAGATTTACACTTGAAATATCTTCTTCTCAATAAATCTTAATTACCGAGAGATCACCAGGAATCTAAACAAAGCAAAATGACTGATATTTTAGTAGATACTGATATGTTCCACAAATCAGATAATGATGTACATATACGTAATAGAGACGTGAACATTTTTTTTCACTACCTAACATATGTTTACAAATGTCTTTAAAAAGACGATATGATAATAATGTTCCTTGGATATATGAAAGACGGTGTCAAGGAGAGATTATTAGATTGAGTATTCCTTTGATGTGAAAAAATAATTACATCTTGTGCGATAATTAAGTAAATTATGTCATTCTATCTTCTTGATATGGTGGAAGCGTTCGTGGGGGATTGCGTGGGTCAAAACTGGAGCACTCCGGAGAAAGCCGTGCAGCTCGGCAGGTGCCCGTATATCATTTTATCTACGACTGTTGTACCAAAGTTTCATCAAATAAAAATGTTGATATATAAGAAAAATGTTTTGTAAAATTACATCTCGATTAAATGTTTTTTAACTAATTTTCTAAACAAATCCAAATTCATACATTCACAACAGGGACTAGCAGTCAAATCAATATTGTTCAGCATTTTGTTCAGTTTTTGTATTTTTTGTCCTTGTCAGTAGAGGCAGAAATAAAAAAAAAGATGGCTTGTTGGAATACTACATTTTCCTCGCCGTTGTTCACAGCCTCGGTGAACGGTAACCGTGCTGTCCTTCACGCGTTACTCTGTGGTCTTCCACTACAATAAGAGTCGCCTCCCTTTGGACATATCTTCTCGATGACAAGTCTTCAGTGGTACGGGAAAATGTACACAGATTGTAAAAAATGAACAGCACCTTTTGATACCTTTTCAAACTTAGAATTGATACAATAGTGTCAAATCCGTCCTTCTAGGTCTCGCTAGTGATGCTGAGGTCCTCAATTTTGAAACAAGGGTCTAGAATGACGTCACAGTCAAAAGAACATACATAACATATTAAAATAACAAAATTTTTCATCCAAATCATCTGGAACTTAAAGTATGCTGCATATTCATATACGTCTACACTGTAATAGAAAACAACAGCGAAGGTAATTTTTCCAGCAAAAACATGGATTCTGTTCAGAACTATGCAAGAAAATGGATGGAACGAGAACATGCTGTGTTAGATTCACTTTCTGAGATAGTGAAGTCCATTCTGTCCATTATTCGTTAAATAACTTGCTGCTATACATCTTACAAAATTTGCCAGACAGGTATGCTATTGTGCCTGAAGATAAGGCGTCCAATAACTTGATCTTTGTCTGCAAACATTATAACATTTCATGTTTATAAACAGAAGAGAAAGGAAATCCCACCAATACATTATGCAATCTTTCAAAAAGTGAAATGTTAATCATGCTTCAGTATTGCAATCATTTAGAATGTTTATTGATGACTAGGATACTGACCTCCTCCGTTTATATTGGATCCCTAAACTTAACAGGAATCCATATGAACAACGGTTTATTGCTAAATCGTCTAGCTGTTCAACCAAGCCTTTGTCAACACTAACAAACACTATTCAATGTACCATCAAATCTGGATAACAGGTTAATTGCGATGCTGTTAACTCTAGAATAGGAATTAAGGGTATGTGGATTTCGAGGTACTCAAAAAAGCTTTTGACCGATCTTCAACACCTTCTTCTAAAACATTTCTTTTATAAGAACCGAAAATGTATTGACCACGCTCATCGTATATATCCACCAGAATTGGAAATCAAACACACACTTCTATATCAGCTGCTTATCTCGATCTTTTCTTACAACGAAACCAACATGGACAGCTTTCCACCAAGCTGTATGATAAACGTTATTATTTTAATTTACCGATTGTGAACTTTTCTGAATCTTTCCATCTCCAACCTACGGTGTCTGCATGTCGCATTTGATTAGATATTCGATGAATCCTTATTAGGATTTTCGAGCAAGAAGTCATCAACTGATGGACAAACTCGTAATACAGGGTTTCAAAAGATGCAGGTTGGGACATTATGGTCGTCATAGTGATCGCATCGAGAACTATTCTATTTCGTTGTACGATATGATGCTGGACGTGTTTGATGCTCGTTAGTTTGTTTGTTGGTTCCATTGTTTTATATCTATTTCTCATTTGAGAAAGTGACATTACTTACCGATTGACTATGGTTTAAATGGCGGTTGTCGTCGATGAAGCAGAAGACATTTACTCTTCCGGAACACATGATCCTTTTCTCCTTGTACTTTTTTTCGGGTTTTTTTTTTGTAAATCTTTCTTTTGTTCATAATTTGTCCTGTTTTTACGACATTTGAGTTAATGTTGACATGTTGGTATTTTCCTGGTGTTTATTGCACAAAAGTAACGTGGGTTGGTTCTAGTTTAATTTGTTTTACCTCATAATAAGGCTATTTTGAGAAGAAACACTAAATAGACCTTATGGACAATACTACTAAACTGAAAACGTTTTAACGCCTAACACATAGAACATCCTCACTCTGTAATTGGTTCAACTCACATGTATAGCTCCCGGTAAATACTTCCAATGATATATTGACGTGCCGTTCAAACTTCTAAAATAGAAAATAAATCTGACGAAAGCAAATGGAATCACTGAACAAATACAACGTACTGCAGTCGCCCATCGCCTTCCAAATTTGTGCTCTTTCCTAAAAGTTCATTAATTTACTTTCGATGATTATAAAAAACACAATGGTGACGGCAACAAATTCGAAAAGCAGCAGACCCCTATAGTTTTCCAAACAGAGACAAACGCGGAATCAAAGACAAAACTCGAGGTAGTCTCGAGGATAAATGATCGGTTTGGAAAGAAGAAAAAAAATATTCCCATTTGGGTTTCCCTATTACATCTTGTGACGGAAATCAACAGGTACATTTTTTACCTCTTGCTACCATGAAAGGTAGGTACCAGCTATTATGATAATTATTCTTATTCTTTTTACCATTCATCAACCTAAAGATACCAACCTTTGGTCTATTGATAAGTTATAAGTTATACTTCAGTCGAATGTAGTATTTTCCATGTCGAAGTTCCCAACTTATTTCCGCAGGTGAACACCCTTATATATAACGGTCAATATGATATCAGTCCTGTCTTTATTATATATTCTGAATTCGTTGTATGAATGGGCTTCACAACAATTCATTATTAACGTATACAAGACTCTTTTTAATAACAAATGTTTAAATATTTAGTACAGCACAGCTGTATTCTGTCTAGTAGCGTACGAGAAAGCCGGTGAACATCGAATAGGTTGGTTCTATGTTTGTTCCCGCAAAGGTAGAGTGAACACGAACCCACACCTCATCGCCTTGATCCAGCTGTATCGCTGCAGTGGAGGACCCCTGAGAAAACTTATCGTCACTGCCCCCACTTCCAACTGAACTTCTCCCGAAGCCGACACCGTTACGGACAATTTCTGAATTTACACCATGGACAGGACCGTAATTGATTCGTAAACACCAGGAAAACACATAGATCCCGGGTTGCGAACAGGTAAACACGCCGGTTGTGGGGTGATAATTGCCACCGATGTTCAGTTTTATGTCCTGGAATTGTATGATGTGTTTCGCGGCCGGGTTAACTAATTCGTTCGCGAGCACTGCGTGGAAGGCAACACCACTAAGAGAAACTGTGAATAAATAGAAACTGTATAAGCAATCGGCGATTATATCTTTAATAGTAATTACATTTCACGAAACAACTATTATCATCGAAGTATTGTGATGATAAGAAGAACTTACTAGGATACTGTATAAAGTTGTTCACCCAATCCAAAAAATATCATGGCAGACTGTTAATATGTTTGCAGATGATAGAGGAGACTGCTGACCGGCACTGTAGTAGCGCCTTCACAATCAAAATTCATAACCTGAACACAAATGATAACCTCTTCCAGGATGGATCGCTACACTCTGCTCAAACCCACCCGGTCAAATTATACTGACATGCAATGGAGAATAATTCATGACCGTTTGTATATACCGATAACTTATGTGTCTCGTTTTGTGACCTCGCGGTAGAAGAGGAGCTGGCTTGAAAATAAATGCCAATTCTGCATGGGTACCTTCGCATTAAATGCCTCTTAAGCAAATACACACGTGGTAAACATATAATCTTTTCTCTATTATTTCCTATTCAGTGTTTTTAAGGATTGTAAATAAGTATTTAAGAGCGTTACCATACCTACACGTCTTCCAGGAGAAGCAAGCTCCCTTCGGCTAACATTGATGTCCAAATCGATCTGTCTCTCATTCGAATCATGTATTTCTTTATGGTTTCCATTCTTAAGTCTTGTGTTATCCTTTTCTTGGTTATCTTCCCAAACACTGTTTGTGTTTCTACGCTTATTCTCATCTCTCTGATTAGACAATGAAACACTTATTGTTCCCAATGTATCGTTAAATCCATGGACTTCGTTGTGATTGGTAGTAATTTTAGCGTCGCCTTCGGTGACTATTTTATATAGATCTGGCAATCCACTAGAATGGGTTACAGCAGCATCTGCATGTCTATTATCAGCATCTAGTTTACGCATGGCAAAAGCCTCCTTGTCATGGGTGCGTATATGTGACCCTTCCTGTAGTCTTTGCAAAAATACTTGCATCTCTTCAGCATGAAGCTTCCTGACTTCCTGTATTCGTTTGTTGAAGACTCTCACGTCATTTGCGCGCTTATCCTCTACTTCCTTTATACTTGAGACAAACCACTGCATGTCTCTGTCTCGCTTCTGCTCTACTTCCTTTATATGTGAGACAAACCACTGCATGTCTCTGTCTCGCTTCTCCTCTACTTCCTTTATATGTGAGACAAACCACTGCATGTCTCTGTCTCGCTTATCCTCTACTTCCTTTACACGATCGATGAGTCTTTTGGCATCACTCATGGCTCCGTTCTCACATATTTTTTCAATGCTATACTTATCGATGTCTTCCCGTATTTGCGATGGCAGGGGAGTCCTGGACGATGCTGCTGTTGAGAGTATGGCGAAGAGAAACAGTGACACGAACATTTTTAAATGTAGATCATCAATAAGAACTTTAACGGGGCTTCACTCAATGTTTCTTATCGTAAAAGTTTCCATATGTATGGAATCCTATCAGTGCCATCTAAAACACGGTGCCAGAATTTGTGTGTTACAAATGGAGTTGTGCGATAATAGGTTTATAAAACGACCAGAAAATAGAAATAAAACAAGATATATATATACTTCATTGTTATGTGTCGGTTATTTAGTATACATGCCTATTTCAGGTACGTTGTTGAGCGCTGTGTATGTCATTCCGTACAAACTGTAGACAGCATTATCATACATTTCCAGATCTTATCTCTCGTGTACAACGGATATTTAAGAAATCAAGCTATCTCAGTCATAAGTATCGTCCAGATGATAGATAGAAATAAGTGTGTTGACAAACATTTGGTTTGACACATTACTAAGTTGGATATGAAATTAGATAATGATTGCTCCCCAGTATTAAATTTCTTTCTCTTAGAACTAAGAGAAAGAAGCACCTTGAATGATAGATGTGTTATATCTTGATGATAGCAACACGATTATAGACGTATAAAATTTATGAAATAACACCAAGGAGATTTACATCTTAGATTAACAAGGTGTGTGTGATGATAACTTGTCGTGGTTCTAATGTACATTTATAGGATGTTGTTCAGCAATAAAACCAATAGGCGAATAACTTCAAAAGAATTATATACCTATTCTGAGCTAAGTGTTGTATTATCAATTTCATTCTGGATGGCTTTCTCTTTCAATCTTGGCCTAACAAATTTTTCTTTTTTCTTTATCAGACATCTCAATACATCGGTATACCTGCAGATAAACCAATACTATGGTCGTGATCAATACTGTGGTCGTGATCAATACTATGGTCGTGATCAATACTGTGGTCGTGATCAATACTATTGTCGTGATCAATACTGTGGTCGTGATCAATACTGTGATCAATACTGTGGTCGTGATCAATACCGTGGTCGTGATCAATACCGTGGTCGTGATTAATACCGTGGTCGTGATCAATACCGTGGTCGTGATCAATACCGTGGTCGTGATCAATACTATGGTCGTGATCAATACCGTGGTCGTGATTAATACCGTGGTCGTGATCAATACTATGGTAGTCATTAATACTGTGGTCGTGATCAATACCGTGGTCGTGATCAATACCGTGGTCGTGATCAATACCGTGGTCGTGATCAATACTATGGTAGTCATTAATACCGTGGTCGTGATCAATACTATGGTAGTCATTAATACTGTGGTCGTGATCAATACTATGGTAGTCATTAATACTGTGGTCGTGATCAATACCGTGGTCGTGATCAATACCGTGGTCGTGATCAATACCGTGGTCGTGATCAATACTGTGGTCGTGATCAATACCGTGGTCGTGATCAATACTATGGGTGAAAACAGAAGCAATTGCAGATATTCTTTGTTTATTAATATAAAACATATATTTCCTCGAGTTAAATGGAAACGTTTCTAATTTTCATTGATGCAATATTGTGTTTTTCACACTTTTCATTGATGCCAGTTTGAATTTGCCGTTCTTTTTATATGTGTTTATTATCTATATACATAAATATTAAAGGGGAATCATAAGTTTTCTTTCTATTACTTTATTTTATCATTATTTTTGTGTAATGCACAAAAACAAAGAAAGCAGATCCAACCCAGTATCCAAAACACGGAAAGTATTAGAGCAGATATTTGACGACTCCAATTTGAATTGGTCGTTTTACATGCTGTTATCTGGTGACGGTCGTTTATGATTTTTAAAAAATATATATCAGTAAGTAAATAAATGCACCCGGAAAAGATTTGATGGTAACAACAAACTTATTCAACTCTCTATCTATTTGTCAATACAGTGACAAGAATGCAACGCCCTGCTTGGTCAAAACAGCAAAAATCCGTAGAAATGCTTGATCATCACTGCAGATATTTCTTATTTTGTTAAAGCTGATAAACATATCTGTTTCATACGATATTACCAATCAAATAACCCTATTTTATTGTCAGCTAATGTCTATGCAATAAACAGTTTCAATTTCAACGGTATAACTTTGGCAACCAAGCGCTGATAAGTAATACATGTATGATACTTAAAAGTGATATTGTACAGTTTGATACACTAAGGCGGAACCACATCAAAGCTGTTATGACTTTAGAACATAGTGAAATGAACATGAATATCAGAAACGCAGAGATTCGAAAGACTTAGCATTATATATATAATGTCACCACCTGTCATATATACATGCATTAAGTTAACAGCATAGACCTGATACCAAATTAGTGCTAGTTCAATACTAAATGCTAAACCTATTGACAACCGTATATACGTGGATTGATTAAACGCTCGTCAGGGCTTAGACCGTCGGAAAATAACGTATTGCCTTAGGTATAATCACAGGAAACCTGTTTAGTAGAAGAAATGCACGTGCACCCATTCCGCTCCATTACTAGTCTCTGCCTTATTCTGTGTTGTAACACACATGGAAACAATAGTACACACTTAACATATAATGGTATCATAAGGTGAATTCACTCCAGAGAAATTATAAAGCACTTCAACAAGAAAATGGTTCAGAAAATGAGCAAAGTAATTGCAAGTAGGTCAGGCTGGAATCTAGAAATTAATTGCTCCAAAGTAATTAAGATTGGATGAGGCGATGACAAAGAAGCGATGGCGGGGCTTAGGATGAGTTATTGATAGAGGTAGCATGCTGATTACACACTCTCGCAGAACAAGCTGAACACGATTTGTCATGAAAAGCGAACAATAAAAAATTAATCATGACAGTTGTGTGTTAATTTGACAGATTTCATATTGTCAAAATAGTTTATTTTGTAATCGACCGAGAAATTAATGAGACGCGTTTGTTTTACTATCAGGTTCAAATATAATGGCAGACTTTTGTTTGAAACTCCAACATAAACACCATTCAAGCTGTATCATAAATTGATTTAATGAAATTAGTTTTCTTAATGAAGTACCATCCTGTAATCAATCACAATATACATATCGGGCTGTAAGCGTTATATATCACCGACGTAATCGTAATCAAAATCTGCTTACCTGTCCGATTGTTTATTCCTATATCACCATGGTAACATCACTAAGCGTCTTATTATCATTCTTCGGACGTTATATATCATTAACATAAATTCACTCAGTGTATCACCAAACTGACCGGTGGCTTTGAACAGCCATAATCGGCTCGAAAGCACCAATAGCTTATATATATCAAACTAGATAGCTTTTATGTTTTTACGTTACTTGAAAGTATGTTTTTCGGGTTCTTCGCGAAAACCTCGTTTTGAGAACATCATAGATATGTTATCTGTTTTGAAGTATAAGAAACCCTGTCTCAAAATGCCTTATAAAGAGTTAAATACATTATCATAATTCTATTGTACTTCTTTTGTATCTACATTTCTGATTTACAATCATTGTTTATCTCTTTAGAAATTAACGACAACATATGGTTAATGCCACTGCCTATGCCTGTTGCAGGACTGATCACTTTTGACGTTGTAACGTAATTACGCGCAGACAAGAGCACTTCTCTGTAAGATTGTACTAGCTTCACCAGGCGTCTGATGTGAAAAGAACATTTACTTAAAAAAAAACCCACACACATTATGTCATCTTATACAGGTCAATGCATTCATCAGCTCAACATTACGTCCGTCAGAGAACTTCAATGTACCCTAGTAATCCTGGCACTGAGGTCCGAGACGGAATACCTTAATTTGTTACTTTCTTGTTCTGGCCAGGAGTGGTAAATTTAGGACAACACTATAATCTAGCTATCTTTAGGGAAAGAGATATTCTATCAGCCTCGTTTTGATGATGAATGTTTTTGCAACCATATTCATAACATTCGCCACTCTTTCTTAAAGGAAGTTTCTCCTGGTAGAATGTCGGATTCCCGTTTTGTACACGACCGTGCTTTAATGTGAAGCAATATGTGTGTGATAATGTTACGGATCAATGTGTTCACGGAGACTGCCAAATAATCACGGAAACTAATTACTTACTCTGTCGATCGTATACGAATCGTCATCTAGCTTATGTTTATTATATAGGTATATAGAGAGATTAAACAACAGTACGATGGGTACCAGATCATCACTTGTCTTTACTGTCTCCGAGTCTATTTGTATTGAAATGAGTTATTGTGTGCTTTATATTAAATACATGATTCAAACCAATCTATTCAATTTTTTAATTTCATAAGGTTTTACTGCCATCCGTTAATGTTGTAAAATACAAATTCAAAACACTCATGTTAACAGCATTTTGGGATCTTCTAAAACCCTGTTACAAGATTTAGCCACCCACCGTAGAGTCACTATGTATTTAAAATGACCACGACCATGCACTCAGGAACGGTAACTGGTCTTAACTAGAATGTACCTTTTATCACAAGGTACAGCATTCGATTTGGTTTGACTGGATCTAGAAGCAAGTTTACATGTATAAACAAGCAGGGGATTATGTCATACCAATCACATTCAACATATAGCAAATTCACAAACAAAAGTTTGGGAAGTTCCGTAAAACAAAACAAAATCCGTGTGTACTCTAAATAGGCTAACCTTAACCAAAAGTATTTACAGTTTGTAGTATGTAAGCATTAAGGAAATGTTGATTAAGATTTCTACGACGTAATCTTGACTTCCAAGATATGATATATTAACATGTAGTAAGTTATAGGACATCTGGATGAACTTGATTTACGTAACCACCATCTGAGCATAGATTCCCGTAGGTGGCACCGTTGTAATTATTTGTAAAGGCGGTATTTGTTGTGTAGTGTTTTATAGAAATAAAGATCTCGTAAAACTAACACGTCCTTTAATTCCTAATTATTCCTAAGTGGTTCTAGGGATATCACACTTATATATACATTCGCTAAATAGCATGCACTTCATTGTCTACATATATGCTGTGAAGTGGCTCTTTATATTGAGACAACAAG